TAACCCTATACAGTCTATACAAGCATGATAACTAAACATGTTTGACACACCCCCTGGACTGCATAGGGGAATGTTCTAGACAAGCAGCTCAGGGTGGCACTACTAGTCCAGCCTCTGAGACAAGGGTCTAAAAGACCAGTCAGAAGGAGTACAGGCAAGGCAAGAACTAGTACAGGGCGGCACTACTAGTCCAACCACTGTAAGAGGACACAAGTCCAGTCTGAGTGTACACACAGATATATAGGACAGTACAGAGTCAAGGCCCGAGTAAGTGAGAGACTACAGGAGCCAGACCAAGCTGCACACAGTGCCGCTGATGATCTTTAGGCGCAAGCGCCTTCGTAAAGATATCAGCTGTGTTGGCACCGGAGGCTAAGTGTACTACGCGAGCCTGGCGACGCTGCTGTAGCTCACGCAGGAGGAAGTACCGCAGCTGGATGTGCTTCGCTCTGCCCTCGAGTCGAGGCTCCTGACACAGGAGGATCATGGCCCTGTTGTCAGCGTACAGGACCGGGGCAGAGCTAGGCCGCTCACCTAAGTCAGTGAGCAAGAAGGTCAGCCAGCGGAGCTCCTGTGCCGCCATGGCACCGGCGTAGATCTCGGCCTCACAGCTGGACTGGGCAACAGACGAAGAGCGGGTAGCTCTCCACGAGACAGCACCTGAACCAAGGCTAAAGCAGTAGCCCTGGGAAGACCTGAGCGTCTCGGCGTCGTCTGCCCAAGAAGCGTCTGTGTGTCCAGTAAGGACCACTGGCCTGCGTCCGCCTAGCACTAACCCCATGCCCGATGTACTTGCAAGATAACGCAAAACCCTCTTAGCGGCAGACCAGTGCTGAGGTCGGTGCCTGCCTGTGGCCACGAAACGAGCCAGGATGCTGAGAGGGTATGCGAGATCTGGGCGAGTGCAAGTCATCAGGTACATGAGGCAACCCACTAGCTCAGCGTAAGGACCACTGGGATCTACCGACTCCTCAGGAACTGGAGCGGAGAGTCTGTGGTCCAGAGGAAGAGGGGTGGGCTGTGCGGAGGAGAACTGAAGGCCGAACCTCTGAAGGACCTGGCGCACCAAGTGTGACTGAGTCAGGGTGATGGTGCGCGCGGCTCTGTCCCTGGAGATCTGCAAGCCAAGGTAACGGCGCAGCTCTCCAAGGTCAGTGCAGGTGTGTCTCTTCAGCAGCTCTGCCTTCACGGAGGCCAGTGCGTCCCTGTCAGCAGTGGCAAAGACCAGGTCGTCTACGTAGACGAGGATGTAGAACGGAGTCGAGCCAGCACGAACGAAGAGCGAGGGGTCTGCAGAGGACGGAAAGAACTGCAGGTCAGCAAGGGTAGCACGCAAAGTGTCGTGCCACTCACGAGGCGCCTGGCGCAGGCCGTAGACTGGCCGCCGCAGAAGCCACTGGGTCCCAGGGGGGAAGGTGCCAGTAAAGCCCTGAGGGCGACGCAGGTAGACCTGCTCGTGAAGGCTGCCCTGAAGAAAGGCAGTGGAGAAGTCGAGGGAGTGAAGCTCGTAGTCACGCTGAGCCGCTACGTGTAGCAGCACCCGAAGAGTAGTCATCTTCGGGGTAGGAGCGAAAGTCTGAAAGAAGTCCACCCCCTCGCGCTGACTGAAGCCTCTAGCCACGTAGCGCGCCTTGAACACAGGCGGCTCTCCAGGAGGGCGCTTCACCTTGAAGAGCCAACGGCCATCGACCACGTTCACCCCAGGTGGGGGAACTGCGTCGACGAAGGTGCCGGTGGATCTCCAAGATGCCATCTCCTGCTCCATGGCAGCTATCCACTGAGAGGCCCAGGGTCCCGAAACCGCCTCAGCGTAAGTACGAGGGGTCGGGATGTCGAAAGCGTCTGGGTCACCCTCAGAGACTAGCAGCATGGAACAGAGATGGGGAGCAGCCTTGGACAGGAAAGCAAGCTCAAACTGGCGGTCCTCCAGGACGTCACTGCCGAGGGCAGGAGCACCCCCGACAGACGGAGGACAGGCAGGGTGAGAGACCAGAGCGGTGGCGTAGTCAAGGCGGCGGGTAGAGGCGAAGTCAGCGACCGCAGCGACGAGGGCGTCAAGACTCGACACGGGAACAGACGGGTCGGTAACGAGAGAGGCAAGGACCCGAGGAACAAGAGGACGAGCGGCACGAAAGGAGTCGGACAGAGGAGGAGACGCAACGACAAGAGAAGACGGAGGAGGAGACGGGAGGAGGGGAGGTCGAGACGCGTGGGAACGGAGCAACATAGGGTGAGAGCGCGGGACAGGGGAGACAGGACGAGCACGAGAGGGGCGGCGAGACCAGACGTGTGAGGGCGGCGTCGGGTCAGGAGACAGAGGAGGGGACACAGGAGGGGAACGAGGGGGAAGACGAGCCGGGGACGAGTCTGGCAGAGGGAACACGGGGCCGTAGACGGGAAGAGGGGGAGACGGCAGGAGAGGAACAGGCGCAGGGTCAGGAGACGGAAGGCCGAGCAGACGGAGGGCGGACACAGGCGGGGACTGCTGCTGCGGCGACACAACACCAACACCAGGGCCACAAGCTGCGCGACGGCTACCTCCCGAACCCTCCACACCTGCACCCCCAGAAGGGACACCCCCAGAGTCCACAAGCGGCGGCAGCGACGACAGCGGCGGCGGCGGCGGCGGCTGCAGCGACGGCTGCGACGGCGGCGGCGGCGGAGACGACGGCTGCAACGGCGGCGGCGGTGGAGACGACGGCTGCAGCAGCTGCGGCTGCGGAGGCGGTGGAGGAGGAGACACCGGGGGAGGGACAGACGGCGAGGACTGCGCCGGAGGACTACCAGAGTCAGAAGACTCGTCGACCGGGACGACCGACGGGAGGGGGGTGACGTGAGACACACCAGAGGGGGCCGGACGGGGGGGCGGGGGGGGGGAGGGGCAGGGACCACCAGGGAGGGAGGAACCAGGAAAAGGGGGGGAGTAACCGGGGGACCACGGTGGGGAAAGCGGCGGTAGAAGGAGACGGACTCGTCAAAGGTGACGTCGCGAGAGTGAAAGAAGCGGTGAGACGGCGGGTGGTAGAAGTGCCAGTCGGACGCGTCAAGGGGGAAACCGAGGAAGACGCAGGGGAGGGTGCGGGCAGTGAGCTTGTCCGTGCGAGAGGCACGAACGTGAGCAAGGCAGCCCCAGACGCGGAACGCAGACGCGTCACCAGGGGACCCGGTCCACAGAAGGGTCGGCGAAACCTGCGGCCGCTGGGGGTGCGGCCACAGGTTAAGCTGGTGAGCGGCGTAGCGCACGGCGAACGGCCACAGAAAATGGGGTGCACCGGCGTGGATCATGGAGGTGCGAGCCACCTCCATGACCAAACCGATGCGTCGCTCAGCGACCCCATTCTGCTGCGGGGAGTCCGGCAGGGTAAACGTCTGGGTGATGCCCTCCGCACGACAGAAGCGACCAAGGACACCTGAGGCAAACTCGCCACCCCGGTCGGAGTGAAGGCGCAAGGCAGGGAGACCGCGGTGGACACGAGCAGAGACAAGCCAGGGGATGAGAACGTCAGGCACGTCGGCCTTCCGCTCCAGGGGGAAGACGGTGGTGTAGCGCGTGAAGTCGTCGACAAGCACTAGAAAGAAGCGCTCGCGACGCGGCCCATGGACCGGGGCTGGGCCCCAGACGTCCATGTGCAGAGTCTGCAGTGGTGCGGTGGTAGGGGGAAAAGAGGAGGAGTGAGGGGCACGGCGGAGCCGGCCCTCGACACAAGGCGTGCACGGTGGGGCGGGGGAGGAGCGCAATGGGGCCCAGGAGGGGCGCTACGAGGCCTGGGAGGAGCGCGACGGGGCCCAGAAAGGGGCGCAACGGGGCCCAGGAAGGGGCGCGACGGGGCTAGGGAGGGTCGCGACGGGGCTAGGGAGGGTCGCGACGGGGCTAGGAGCACGACGGGGCCCAGCTAGGGGGCGAGTGGAAGCGTGAGGGGGGGGGGGGGGGGGGGGGGGGGATCCTACCTACGCGTGATACCATAACAAACAGTGAAATTGATGAATAGAGAGAGAGAGTACACAAACATATACCTAAATGTTGTACTCTCTAGAAGATAACCCTATACAGTCTATACAAGCATGATAACTAAACATGTTTGACACGGACGCCCTTGGAAAAGGCCAGAGTGCATTGGTATGAATGTAAGATTACCTGGTATTACGCGTTTACCCCCCAATCACACCTTGCACGCACCGTCGGTGGTCTTAACTAGGAGCACACCTACGAGGAGAGAGAGTGTAAGGTGTGTGCCAGTTTAGTGTACACACATAAGGAAATGGAATTTAGTTGCACTAAACTGGCACACACATAAGGAAATGGAATTTACTTTTCCCCAGTTTAGACTCGTAGATAGATCGTCCACCACCATAACGAGTTTGCCACGCAGTTCTGCCACGTAAATATAGATCACATTAACCAAATGTGACCCTCTGCCAAGCCGCATACATTTCATGCGCTTTGCAGTTTCTTCAGTCCATCGTCATACAAGCTTCTTTCTTAGTTTCCATCTGAGATAAATTATATCAACATGGCTAATATGATTTCCTTTGTATGAAATGAGTTGAGGCACCAAACCGATGTTTCGGATTTGGCATGTGTGGTCATAAATAATACGTTATGTAAAGATGCAAATACATGATTTTCTTTGTTCAAGAGCTCTGTTACACATACGAACCTTTACTAGGATGCGAAGAATCACATCGCATCCTTCAAGGGGGAGCATTGTACCGGTTTGACTGGACCTCTGATCACTCGCCACGTGCCACTAGCCATGCGAGTTGGCCCATGATCTGCCTGCGTCGCATTTCGGAGTCGCGTAGTGTAGAGGCCGCAGGCGCCAGCGAAGTGGCCATACTGATCGAATGGGGCGCTCGAGTGGAACCCACAGGGGTCGCGCGCAGCGACGAGGAGCGCTCCAAAATGTCCACGGGCGAATGTTGAGCAACCGGGCATTGCGAATGCGGCCCGCGGAATCAAGTGTTGGCTTGGCTGTTGCAAGTGTACAAGCTTTGAGCTTCGAGGTCCCACACGCAGCCTTAGAACTAACTGCTCATAATCCCACCTTCCCATACCGCTGCTCTCAACGCGCTCTCGCGTTGCTCTTCGTCCTCGTCACTTTTAGACCTCCGCCGCATTCTATTCTTACCACTCGCGGTTGCATCTGAGGTAATAGGATACCAGAGAAGCTAATTCCTTGCTTGAACGTCCTGCACGCTAGTAACCCCTCATTCTTAGTTATTCATCCAGCTCGAGACGACAGGATGTCTGACCAGCAGAGCAGGATGAACCTGAACGTGGTATTCGTTGCGACGGTTATTCTCTTCGTGGTAGCCAACACCCTGCTTGCTGCTGGCATGCCCTCCAACGACTTCGAGGTGCCTACGCTCTTTGGGTTGGTCGGGAAACGTACTCCTGCCACTCCCCTCCCCTTTTTCCGCACTATGCTAGGCCCGTGTGTCGCGGAATGTAAGCATTTCCCTGTACGGTTCTGCTTCGGGATCCAGCTGGCATCGGATGCTGCTCCGTGCGGGAAAGAGTCTCTCGAGTCCCTGGATCTTCAAACGCAGCGGCACCTTATCCCCCATTGATCCCCTCCCATTCGGCTGTAGTTGCGCTGCTAAACTCTTCGAGCTGAGCGAGAATCATGCTGCTTGTCGTCGACTTTCTTGGGTGCGTGCAGAAATACGCTGTTCGCTCTGGGCGGTTAAGGACCGGCGGAAGTGCCAATAATAACGGCGGTCATCGCGTTAAGTGGAGAAAGCTCCAAGTTTTGGTCACCTGCAGCTCCATGAATCTCACAGCATGCGGATCGTAAGCCCTAAATAATCTCCCTGAGAGGGAGTCCCCTTTTCCGCTTTCTCTCTTTCATTTCGTCCATTACCGGCTCTTTCCATTTCTCTTCCTTCTCTTTTCGACCACGTTCCAATGTTCTTCCATGTCCTTTCTCGAGCTTTCAACTGATAGTGTTTTTCAAACACTCTTTCATCCGCGCTATGATGGCAGTGTGTGCGTGGACACGAAGAACGACCTGAATAACTGCGGCGCGTGCGGCTCGTTCTGCGACATCTCGACGTCGTGCTGCGACGGCAAGTGCACCAACCTCGACTCGAGCCTCGAGCACTGCGGCGGCTGCTACCAACGCTGCCCAGGCACCTGCACCCTCGGCGTCTGCGACTACGGCGGTGCCAGCGGCTACATTCCCGGTGTCACGCCCGTGCCGTAGGCGTCTGTCTTGGGGTTGGCGGAGGCGTTTATGCTGGCTGTGTGGATCCCGAACCGAGGAGCTAGGACCGAGGTGCCGAGACGACGAAGTGGCACCGGCTTACACCCATTCGTACCATTCCGTGACTTACACGGAACATCTCACGTTCTTACTATCTATTCTTCATTCTGCATGGTTTGATCGACTCCCGAGGAGAGTGAGCGTCATTTGGAGAGCGGCGAGTTTGAGGCGCGGACACAGATGGACAGCGATCCTGTGCGGGCTCTGTCTTCCCTTCGCAATACACACGCCCCGTCGCCCACTGTTGGGCGAAAATAAGTGTGTTGTATTTGTATCTCTCAAAAGTATATGCAATGCAAATTTATTGCGTTTCTTAGTACATGGACCTTTACCCGTTGCACTGAGCCATCTCAGCAGTGCATCACTCACGCGATTGCGCATTCCCCCTGTCACTGGCAAAAAAAACACAGGTAGCACGAATTTGTTCATGTCATTCGCGATGGATCATTTCCAGTTTCTGTGATGGCTGTATTGAGCTGAATTGAGAACCTGAAGCGGTAGGGTATGGTGGTGGCTAGGGTTGCTGCTTTGTCGAAGTTTTTTGCCCGTAAGACTTGCAAGCGCAAACGAATTGCATGCGAAGAGGGTAACCAGCCAAGACTGCGCAATTCTGAACTCCCTGTCCCAGTGCTGTTGCCCACTGCCAGCTTGTAGTTGCTCAAGCCAAGTCGCCTTGCAAGAAGTGTGGAACCACTCACAACAACATGCCGCAAAGTTCCAACTGGCATCAGCGAAACGCGATGTTTCGCCACAGCTGTTTCCGAACCGCCAACGTGATGCTTCGGTAGTGTCAGAATCCGAGCTCTCCAATATGGCTTGAAATATACATTAACGGTAGACTCATCTTCTGCTAGTACGCATTTGCCTATGATGTTGCATGAATTGTAAGAAACTAAAGATTATACTATCAATAGTAATTCTTTTACTTGTACACGACATATGGGGCAACTAAGGCGGTACTCCAGCCACTTCTCCAAGCAATCCTGCATGATGGCATGAACACGCAAGAGAAACGGCATACCGTACCATCAACTATACAGACGCCCCTTTCACCAGTGATTGTATGGAGGACAAGACATCAAGCTCGCTATGTAAAAAACATAAACATGAGCGTCATCAATCCACCATTGACCCACCATCAACGCACCATTACCCCACCATCAATGCCCCACCCCTCCCACCATGCTCACCTGGTGAAACAGGTGTCTGCAGCAGTGCATTCGCCTCAGCATGACGTCATCCTCAAACTCCACCAGGCACACAGAGCACTCAGCTGACGTCATAGAAATCACCACATTTGCGGCATCGCCCACGCTGCCGCCATCCCCCACTGCCGCACGCCCGGACTCCCCTGCAAGCACCACAGCCGGGGGCGAGCCCTGCCTCTCGCCATCTGACGGTGAGCAGCGCTCAGAACTTGCATCTGACGGTGGGGAGACCCTCTTGTCAGCATCAGCCCCTGACTCGTCTTGTGGTGTGCCTCTCACAGCTGTGGATTCCTCTCCTTGCACCGCACTCAACCCATCCAGTAGCCGCCCATTCTTGTGACCACCACCTGCAGCCCTGCCGTCCCCCGTGGCTGGGCAAGCTGCCCTCTGCCCAACGGCTTCACCCTCCCCCCCTTCCCACTCCCCCTCACCCTTACCCTCCCCCTCCACCTCCACCGCCCCCTCCACCTCCACCACCCCCTCCACCTCCCCCTGCCATTCACCCTCACCTTCCGATTTACCTTTCGGTCCTGACATTGACTCGGAAGCAAGCCCATCCCCCGCGTTCCTGCTGCGCTCACTGCCGCCTACCCGAGGGCTCTCCCCTCCAATGTCCACCACCGCCTCCCCGCCCTCTTCTAACGAAACCGCGCCCACGCAAGATGCCATGTCGTGCCGCGGTAAATTCACCTCCGCTACAGTCACACCTGCTTGCGTCACCAGGCCGTCGACGCAGTCAGAGCTCGGCGCGCCTCCACGTGCAGCCGCGGCACGTTCGACCTTCGCATCTGCGAAGGTCACGAGGTCGCTGAACGACCCGATCAGCTTCGGGTCCATCCCCTCCGCCAGCCGGCTGCGCGCGGCCCTCTCGCGCAACGCCCGCGCACGTTCCCGCGCTCTCTCCGCCTGCTCCTCTAGCCACATTACGCGCGAGAGGCGGAAGGCGAAGACGAGCAGCGCGGCGGAGATGAAGACGACGAATGCGATGAGAACGGTGAGGTCCATGGCGGGGGGACGCGGCGGGTAAGCGCGTCAGGGGGACACGGCGGACACGCGCATCAGGGGGAAGTGGCGGGTAAGGGCATCAGGGGATGCGAAAGGTCGGGGCTTCACCAGCTTTGGGGACAAAGGCGCGGCACGACGAACAGGCGGCGCAGCGGATTTCGCACGCGGCAACGGCATCTCCGGCGCACGAGAGCGATGGAAGCAGGGGCGGCGATGAGGTGATGCGCGAGGGGAAATGGCGGTGGTGGGAAGAAAGCGCAACCTCAAAAACAGCAGGAGCGGAGGGGAGGTGGAAAAAGCGGAATGCCAGGGCGATGCGGTTCAAATGCGCTCCGCATGATTGGGGGCTCGGACCATTGCTCTGACGAGTTATAGCAGCACACGTGCCTCAATTTGCAGGACAACAGAGGCAGTGCGGAGCAGAGATTCCTGAAAGATGCCGAGCACCATCCTCTAGACAGAACTGTAACTTGGACCCGTTTACACTAAAGACACTCGTGTATTGATATGCAAATTGATGGTTATGATGTACCATCTGAACTTGGAAGTGAAAACCACTGATTAATAAACAAAACAATGCTTCATATTGCTGCTGTAACGGGGCTATTTTCGCGACCCACCGTAGTGCGCTTTCCGCGCATTACGATGTGCATTGGTGGTGGTGCTTTGGTGGCACCACGGACGAGCGACAGAGAGGACATGAGGTGTGGGCTTGTAGCCAGCCATCTATGCATGCCTGGAAAGAGGAGCGCATGGGGGTGAGAAAATTTGAAGGGAAAACGAACATGCATAACCTCATGCTGGAAAACGGAAGCGGCACGGCAAGAGGTGCAGACACATCAGCGAAGCAGGAGTGCAACGACTGGAGCAAGACAGCGAGAGAGTGAGGCAGAGGGAGAGGGAGGGGGGAGAGAGGAGGGAGGGAGGGAGGGAGGAGGAGAGAAAGGTAGAGGAGTGGACTGATACATAGAGACTGGAAGTGAGGGCGAGTGAGGAGGGGGTGTGAGTGTGTGTGTGTGTGTGCACGCGTGTGTGTGTGCGCGTGCACAAGTGTGTGTGTGCACACGGAGAGCAAGGGGTGGGTGGGACGGGGCGGCACCTGGTGGAACATGTGGTGGCAGCAGTGCAGTCGCCTGACGCTCTCCTCGTCTCTGAACTCCGCCAGACACACCGAGCACTCCACCGCTAGCGCCCCCCCCACACCATTCCCCGCTCCCCTTCCTCCTCCCGCCCCTGCTCCCCCTGCTTCTCGTGAGACTGCTGCGGAGGCGTCTGCATCCGCGCACTCACCATGCTTCTCCTGCCGTGCCTGCGCCTGTGTCTGCACGAGGCATTCACACGGATCACCTGAGCCCCCTCGCCACACAACACCTTCGCTGCCCTGCTCTCTCACTGCCTCTGCTGCTCTTGCCTTCTCCACTTCTCTATCAGTCTCGCGCTGTCCCTCCGCCTCACATGCCACCTCAACTCCGCCCTCTCTCCCAACTCGCACCTTCTCACCCTCCCCGCCAGTCGCTCTTCCTGCCGCTTCGTCACTTCCCCCCACCTGCTCTCTCTCCTCCCTCTCGCCCATCTCAACCACTACCATCTCCCTCTCTTCTACCCTCCGCTCCTCCTTCACCTCTCTGTACCGAATCAAATCGCTGTGCCTCGCTATCTCGTCCGTCCCCAGCCCTTTCCCCACTGTCCCCCCTCCCCCGCGCGCCCCCTCCCCTTCCGCCGCGCGCGCTGGCGGGTCCTCCGCAGCCGCGCTGATGACGAGCACGGTGCGCACGTTGATGGTGGAATCGGGGCCGTCGGATCGGCGCACGAGCGGCGCGAGCAGCGCGGGGTGCAGCAGCAGCGCGCGGAGGACGCGGAAGAGGAAGGAGAAGACGAAGGCGGCGCAGAGGAACATGATGGCGTACAGCGCCGACGTGCTCACCGACATGGCGGCTAGCGGTGCTGTCCGGTGCTGTCCGATGCTTGGTTGTGGATACTACAGAAGTAACAACGCTTTGCGCCACCGACAACTGTATACTATCATCCAACGAGTTTCAACCTCAGCAGAGGAGCATGACGGCGTATAACGCGGACGCGCTCATTGGCTCGGCAACTCGCTATGCTTCGAGTTCCGCCCGTTGCCGGGATACGCACTGATGGGCGAGAGGGGGACTAGGGCGCCAGTAGCAATGTACAACCAGGCCACTCCGATCGACCCCAGCAGACGAGCGCGGCGGTCACCGCGCTGGCTTCGTCACGTGTGCTGTCCGCTGGCGGGTGGTGACTGTACGGAAGGGTCACTAAGTCGAGCATCCACTGCAGTCAGCCAGCACCATGCCCGGGCGTCCGTTTCCGCCGCTCGCGGCCCCGCTGGGGGAGTAAGCGGGGAGCTGACCTCCTAGCGCGCTCGCCACGCGGCCCGCGAACAGATTGGGGCTATGCGTTGATAAGACCACACCCTAGCGCGCAGCACCACGATGCAGCGGAGCGGTCTACTATGACGGGCAACGCCACTGCTTGTCAGACTGCGCGCCAGCAGGGAGCGAGCGGCTGTCGCTGGCCATCGGGACTCGGGGCTCGGAAGGGACGCGACGCGGTCGGACTGCTGTGAAGAGGGCTCCGCGAGTCTCGCAGAACGTGCGTGCGTTTAGGCAGGCGAGGTAGACAACTGGACGAACAAAGACGTGTGCGTGGCACTCGCGAGTGCCCCTACTCCGCAGGTGCCACCCAGCCTGGCGGGTGCTGCGGCAGTCTGGCAGCGAGGGCGCACTCCGTGGAGGGAGGGAAGGCAACAGAACCGCGCGTGCGAGCGGTGGTATGCGGTGTACTCGCTACAGCCTGGTTCGGTGTGAAGCAGTGAAAACCTTGTAAATTTTATATGAAATCAATTTCTTTGAAACATCCATCATTGTATTTACTGGTTCCTCTAAATGGAGTCTTCAGCGCCGACGAAGGGAAGAAAGGAGAACATCCCCCCTGAATGGCTGCACGGTAGAGAATGGCAACGAAGGGAGAGATGTGGTAAGCCAATGAGGCTGCCCTCCCCAAGCAAACCAAAACAACTGCTAGGAGGCTGGGCCAGGAATGGCTGTCACGCGGTGCTGAACACATGACGCTACAAGCCTCCCAATGACACACCGCCACGCCCGTCAACATGAAGCACCAGACGTCTCCTCATGTCAACTGACCTGTGGCGCGAGAAGTAGTCGTTGTCCAGTGAGATGGCCAGCGCCAGACACACCGCCCGCTCCGACAGCGAGAGAGGCCGCGCCACGTCCAGAAGGGGGCCCTGTTGCAGATTGGACGGCAGAGATTGTTGGGAGTGAAACTTGTCAGATGGGTGAATGATTTGGCACCTTCACACATGCAGTGCAGGCATGTTGAGGCATGCAGGCATCATAACTTGCACCTGTGTCCCACCTCGTCTGCTTCGGCTGATATCCATGGCTTATGCTGCTGCTGTGGCCTCTCCTCTTGCATCTCACTGTCTTCCTGCTCCCGCTCCCGCTGCTGCTGCTGCCAGTGGCGCACGGAGCCGAATCGCACAACGTACTGCCCGGCGTCCGTGAACACCTGCAGCATGACATGACACAGCCAGAGGCATTCGCAAACGCATGTAGTATGCGCAAGAGGGAGAGCGTGGAAGAACCAACTTCATACGTGCACAAGCATACCACACTGTGGTGCATTGACAGATCCAGCCGTGCAATCATGCAACTCACACAACACCCCTCTTACAATCAAGCCCTCTAGCCCCTCCCCCAACTACCCCCCCCATCCTCCCACCCCCCAGTAGTTCCCCAGCGCACCTCAAAGCCTAGCCCCCTCCAGTTCCTGCTGATCACTGCCAGCCGCTGCCCGTCCGCATCACACAGAGGGAACGACCACCACCAGAAGCCAGGGTTAACCACCCTTGCAAACTGCTGCTTGCTGCGAGTGGGTAGCAGGGAGTGAGGGAGGAGGGGGGGCGATGGAGTGCACACGGGATGGACCGGGGGGGGAGGGGGATGGGGGAGGCGGGGGTGGAGAAGGGGAGTGACTTAGTGCAACAGGCTCAGATGCTTGGCTGGAAACCAGTTGGAAGACGGGTTAGAAGACAGGTTAGAAGTCGGGTTAGAAGACGGGCCACGGGTTAAAAGACGGGTTAGAAGACGGGTTAGAAGACGGGTTGGAAGATACACTCACTGCAGGTATGCGTCATAGACCCGCCTCCAGAGGTGCCAGCGCCTGTGCACCTGGCCTATGGCCTGATGGGATGGATGGAGCACATGGGAGGGCATGCATGCCACGCACAGACAGGCACACGCATGCACACGTGTGTTGACATGCACACATGCGCACACACACACATGCATAGTCATGCACACAGGCAGGCCATGATGGGAACACACATACAGAATCATGAATATGGTGAAGGATTATGTGGCGAAATGCCTTGGAAAGAGGCGATTTGCCCTGTGGTTTAAAGCTCAGACAGGGAGGGAGGGTGGCTGGAGGTGGCGGAGGGGCGTGGTCGCATGCCAAAGAGGATTGCTTTCGCTTCAGATTTCTCCCCCACCTGAGCGCCCACCTGAATCCACCTAAGCGCCCACCTGAATCCACCTGAGAGCACCCACCTGGCCGGCCAGATCGACGTAGATGGTGCTGGTGATGAGAAACATGGGCCGCCGCACCTGAGGACACACATCACGGCGGCAGGGGCGGATGAAGGGGGGGGGATGAAGGGGGGGGAGCGGTTGAAGGGGGGGCGGATGAGGGGGGGGGGATGAAGGGGGGGGGAGGGATGAGGGGGGGGCTCAGGCAGAGGTTGGGGGTGGAAGGGGGGAGAGAGGAGTGGTGTTTGACTGTGAGAAAGAAACTGATTGCGCAGAGTGCCACGGGGGGGGCACGTGCAGGGTGGCATGGGGGGCATGTGCAGAGTGGCATGGGGGGGGCATGTGCAGAGTGCCAAGGGGGGCATGTGCAGAGTGCCAAAGGGGGCATGTGCAGGGTGGCAAGGGGGGCATGCCAAGGGGAGTGGCAGTGACAGCAGCGGCATGAAGGAGGGCCCCGAACGAATCTCCACAGAAGCATCTTTTCCCAGGCAGGTTGGTACCGTGAGCAGCAGGTTGGTACCGTGAGCAGCAGGTTGCCGTGGGCGTCGTGAATGGAAGCGGTGAATGGGCGATGGGCGCGCAGGAACTGCCAGGCAGGGGGATGGAGAGGAGGGGGGGGGAGGAGATGGGCGAAGGGAGGGTGAGATTGATACAGGAATGCGTGAAGGGGCGGTGGGACTGTGCGCATCCAGGATATGGCGGGCAGGGGCGGGGGGCAGGGGGAGATGTGCAGGAGATGATTAGGTGAGGGGGAGAGTGAGCAGGTATGCGAGAAGGGAGAAGATCGGGCAGGCAAATGGCTCAGAATGGAGCAAACGGGAGGGAGGAAGGCAAGAGACGAGCATGATGATGTGGAGTGCATGGACCATGTGGAGTCCATAGGCCTCCCTTTCCATGCAGCTCTATCGTTCTCTCCTCTCTCACCCTCTCACCCACCCCCCTCTCATGCATGCCCCTGTCACCTGGCGCATGAGCCAGTTGCTGCTCTCCACAATGGACCCCACGTGCTGCACGCCAGCATGCAGGGCAGGGGGCAGGGCAGGGTGGGCAGTGAAGGGTGGGCAGAGTGTGGGCAGAGTGTGGGCGGGGAAGAAGGCAGGGCAGGGAGCAGGGAAGGGTGGACAGGAAAGGTGTGGACCAGACGACCAGACGACCAGACGACCATATCCCCCGTCACCTCATCTCCCCCGTCAGTGGACCAGTGGACCAGTGGGGTGGGCAGGGAAAGGGGGGCATGGAGAAGGGAGGGAAACCACAGCGGCGGGGTGAAGGCAGAAGGGGTGCGCAACTGGCTGCAGGAGATGCAAGACCAAGAAGGGGGGTGAGAAGGGCGGCCGCGAGTTGATCGTTGAGGGAACATGGGGTTACAGGGTGACGGATGACAAGTTTACAGGATGACAGATGATTCGGTTACATGGTTACCGGGTTACGGGGTTGCAGGCTCACCTCGCCTGTGTGGGCGTCCATGATGGCGTATTGGTTGCTCTGAGGCGTGGAAGGACACGGGTGGAGAGATGGGGGGCGACAAAGGACAGAAGAGGGGTTCAGGGTTTACGGTTTAGGATTTAGGGTGTTCTGAGGGAGGAGGGAGAGCCGGGGTTTTGGTGCGCAAGTGAAGGGAGGTATCAAAGTGGCGCTGCCCCCAGGATTTGATCTGCAACAAGCTGTCTAAGAGTGCACTTAAGCCTAAGACTAAACTGAGATATGAGTACCGTTACAGAAAAATCGCTTAGTCAGAGAGCCAAACCCTGGTGCACATGTGAAGGGAAGTACGGGAGTAGAGCCGAGGAGCAAGCAAGCAGTGGCGCTGTGAACATGGGATGCACTGACTTCGTGTGAGCACCAGACGACCAACCAACCAGCCATCACCGCACTGCACCTGCTCGTACCCCAGCAGCACGTTGCCCCACTCCACCCGCCGCGTGACTACGAGGTCTGAGCGCGCCAGCAGCGACGCCAGGCACGCCTGGCGGCGGCGACAGGCACAGGGCGGGAGGGAGGGGAGGGAGGGGAGGGAGGTGAGGGAAGGGAGGGAGAGAGGGGAGGGGGCGGAGGGAGGGTTTGTTGAGGGAGAGCACAGCAGGCAAAGCGGTGACTATAAGGTCTGGCCGTGCGGCAGTGACGCCAGGCACCCCTGGCAGTAACAACCGGCACAGGGAGGGAAGTGCAGGGAGGGCAGTGCAGGGAGGGCAGTGCAGGGACCATGCACTCACACACCATGCACTCACACACCATGCACTCACACACCATGCACTCACACACCATGCACTCACACACCATGCACTCACACACCATGCACTCACACACCATGCACTCACACACCATACACTCACACACCATGCACTCACACACCATGCACTCACACACCATGCACTCACACACCATGCACTCACACACCATGCACTCACACACCATGCACTCACACACCATGCACTCACACACCATGCACTCACACACCATGCACTCACACACCATGCACTCACACACCATGCACTCACACACCATGCACTCACACACCATGCACTCACACACCATGCACTCACACACCATGCACTCACACACCATGCACTCACACACCATGCACTCACACACCATGCACTCACACACCATGCACTCACACACCATGCACTCACACACCATGCACTCACACACCATGCACTCACACACCATGCACTCACACACCATGCACTCACACACCATGCACTCACACACCATGCACTCACACACCATGCACTCACACACCATGCACTCACACACCATGCACTCACACGCCATGCACTCACACACCATGCACTCACACGCCATGCACTCACACACCATGCACTCACACACCATGCACTCACACACCATGCACTCACACACCATGCACTCACACACCATGCACTCACACACCATGCACTCACACGCCATGCACTCACACACCATGCACTCACACACCATGCACTCACACACCATGCACTCACACACCATGCACTCACACACCATGCACTCACACACCATGCACTCACACACCATGCATTCACACACCATGCACTCACACATCATGCACTCACACACCATGCACTCACACACCATGCACTCACACGCCGTGCACTCACACACCATGCACTCACACACCATGCACTCACACGCCATGCACTCACACACCATGCACTCACACGCCATGCACTCACACACCATGCACTCACACACCATGCACTCACACACCATGCACTCACACACCATGCACTCACACACCATGCACTCACACGCCATGCACTCACACACCATGCACTCACACACCATGCACTCACACACCATGCACTCACACACCATGCACTCACACACCATGCACTCACACACCATGCACTCACACACCATGCACTCACACACCATGCACTCACACATCATGCACTCACACACCATGCACTCACACACCATGCACTCACACGCCGTGCACTCACACACCATGCACTCACACACCATGCACTCACACGCCATGCACTCACACACCATGCACTCACACACCATGCACTCACACACCATGCACTCACACACCATGCACTCACACACCATGCACTCACACGCCTTACAGCCACCCGCCTCTCACCTCGTCAGTGCTCTGCGGCCTGAGAGGCCCCACCAACGGCTCCATGCCGCCTGCTGCGGCCCCCACGCTGCTGCGCGCTGCTGATGCGCCCTCTGCTGCTGCTGGTGGCGATGCTGGCGACGAGGACACGGATGAGGCTGAGGGGGATGAGGAGGCGGAAGGGGCGGAAGTCGGATTCGGTAGAGATGACTGAATGCGAGACATCCATTCACCCAGCATGCCACGCATATCGCTACTGCTGCTGCTGCTGCCGCTGCTGCTGCTGCCGCCGCCACTATCCCCGGTCCCTGCCCCCTCCCTCGCCCCCGGCCCCTCGCCCTCTCCGCGGCTCCTCGCCGCCTGCCACTGCCGCTCCCTCAGCGCCTGAATCGCCAGCCGCACCTTCTTCGAACTTTCCTTCTTCCGCTTCCTGTCCGCCGCCCATCTGCTCGTGAGCGCCCCACGCGAGTGCGGGGAAGGCGGGGGGAAGGCGGAGGAGGTGGAGAAGGAAGAGGCGGAAGCGGAGGAGGGGGGGAAAGAGGCGGGAGAGGGGGGACAGGAGGGGGAGGACGACGGGAAGCGACGCCGTTGGCGGTCGAAGAGGGCGAAAGGAGAGGAGGCGAGGAGGGGCGAGCTGGCGGGGTGTGCTGGTGCGCGGGCTGCAGAGGGAGTAGCCCAAGGGGAAGCGGAAGAAAGGGATGCGCGGAAAGCGAGAGACGCGTAGGAGCGGGGGTGTGCGTCGGTGGCATGGGGAATGCCGAGAGCCGCGTCGACCGCCGGGGAAACTGACGACCTGCTGTCGGGCGATACTGGGGTAACGGACGGTGTCCCCGTAGACGACTCTAGGGGCCTCAGCGAACCGACGATCCCACTGATAGTCGACCCTGGGGAACCCGATGATCTCCGCACAAATGATGCTAGGGAAACGGATGCATCAGATAAGAGCGTCGAGGGGAGAACGAAACCGCCGCTACAGCCGTAAGTAGGAGCATGTCCCTCGCTGCCGCTCGACATAATCGACCTCCAGCGAGACGAGTCGACGACGGGGGAGAGGCCATGCGACAACGCGCATGCGACGAGCGGTGGTTCCACCGCAGGGTACGACGCGAGGGTCTTGGTAACCAGAATCTGGCGAACGGACGATGCAACAGCAGGGTAGGAGGAAGCCACGGCGATGCGAGTCAGAATCTGACGAATCGAGGGAGCGACGGCGGCGGAAGCCGAGAGCCACGCCGCCATGCTTGCCTCGATTGCTCGACGATTGCTCGCGACGACTATTGCTTGAGACGAGGTGGCAATCAGCTAACGCTGCTACCTACCGACGCCGCCATGCCTGCCTCGACTATGCCGCTCTGCTCACAACAACGACCTGCTCGCGACGTTAATTTGCTCGCGACGTTAATCTGTTCGCGACATTAATCTGCTCGCGACATTAACCTGCCCGCGACATTAATCTGCTCGCGACGAGGTGGCAATGAGTGTTTTGGGAGGATTGCACGCGATGAGAAAGGCTAACAGACAGCACTACCTAACGATGACAACAAGCGCGATTCATGCCTCGCTGTGAATTAGAGATGCGATCAGAGTCGCAGCGCCAGGAGAGCAGAAATGGTGTCACGAAAGCAGAGTGAGGAGAGAGTCAGGAAAAATGAGGCGAGACAAGCAGATGCTGATTGTAGTAAACGGCTGTTAGTGAAAGGTACAGTGTATCGGAATCTTACAATATTGTAACACTATTGATGGCCTATGGTTGAAAGCTATAATACACTTTTGTTTCCCTAATTTCGTATGCAAAATTAAGACTGCTAAAGCATGTTGGAATGAGTGAGGATAACTGAATAATTGAAGCCAGCACTCTTGTAGACAACGTGGAAAACTGCACCCGCTACGACCTAACCCAAGCAATTCCAACATTTCATGGCAACAGAAGCAATATGCCCAAGAAGCAAGCACATTGAGCTGCACAAGAATGAAGACACGTGTCTTCGCCATTCTCCCACAGAGCCGACCTCAGAGATATAGAACGCACCACGGCAGCAAGTGACTGCCCATACTCACATAGACCATACTCTGGGGGTTTGAACAACCCCAGGGTACGTCCCTTCCCTTCTCACCCACCACCATACTCTGGGGTTTTGAACAACCCCAGGGTACGTCCCTTCCCCTCTCACCCACCACCATATTCTGGGAGTTTCAACAACCCCAGGGTACGTCCCTTCCCCTCTCACCAACCACCATACTCTGGGGGTTTGACCAACCCCAAGGTACGTCACTTCCTCTCTCACCCACCACCATACTCTGGGGGTTTGGACAACCCCAGGGTACGTCCCTTCCCCTCTCACCCAGCACCATAGACTTGGGGGTTTGAACAACCCCAGGGTACGTCCCTTCCCATCTCACCCACAGCCATATTCTGGGGGTTCGAACAACCCCAGGGTATGTCCCTTCCCCTCTCACCCACCATCATACTCTGGGGGTTCGAACAACTCCAGGGTACTGTTGTAAAATATATATCTATAGTATACAACATACATGCCTAGATTAGGAGGTGTAGTCATTATAATTATTGGGGGGTTGTTGGTTGGGTTGACCAACCCCACATTTGGATTGGTCAAGATTGGATTTGGTCTTAGACATTTGGTTGGCACTATTCCAACCAAATGGTCCTTGGTCCTAAGAACCAACCAATCACCAAGCACCACACTTTGTGGTTGCTTGCCTTCCAAGCAACCTCTCCCATTGGTCCACATTGTGGCCAATCGGAGAGCACTACACTTTGTGGTTGCTTGCCCTACAAACAACCTCTTCCATTGGTCCACTTTATGGCCAATAGGAGGGCTTCCCTTCCAACTCTTCTTTGCTCCTTGCTTTGTACAAAAGAGCCTCTTGGCTCCCTACTCAATTCAATCCTTTCTTCTGTAAGCTACTTCCTTCATGGTAATCAGAGTCACAATGGCTCACGCCACCTCTAGTCGATCCTAACTAGCACGGCCCTATGCCGTCCCTCCTCGTCTTCGAAGCCTAGCCCTTCTTCAGGCTACTCCCCCCGCCACCCGTGCGCCCTCTTCCGCCGCGCGATTCCGTTGCGCCCGCTCTCCTTTACGTCGTGCGCCTCTCGTGCGCTTCTGCCCATCGCATCCTCCTCTTGCGCCCGCTGTTGCGCTCCTTCGTCGTGCCCTCCCGTCTTGCGCCCTCCGCATTTGTGCGCACCCATCCGTCGCGCTCTCCGCGCGTCCCGTTCGTTACGGCTCCCGCGCACGCCCGTCGACGAATCTTCCCGTCGCGCCCCTGCTCTCCGCACCCGTCGCCGATTCTGCCGCCGCCGCGCGCACGTCCGTCGTCGATTTCTCCGCCGCGTGCGCCCGCCCGTCGTCGATTCCGCTGTCGCGTGCACCCGTTCGTCGCGCCATTTCGGCATGCTGTCAGTCGCCGCATCCTCCTTTGTGCCTTCGGCGACATAAGAGCTACGCTCCACGCACCTACCCTTTTCCTCCCTCCCCCTTCTCCCCCTCCTTTCATTTTCATCCTCTTCCCCTTCCTTCCCCTCCTCCTCCTCAATGGGGTCCGATTCCTCGATGGACCTTACCTCCGTCGATGCTCTTGAGCTGCTGCCCGACAACATTGCGGTCAATTGGCATTCCTATGCCCAAACTGTCACGGTGACAACGGTAAGGGTCAACGGCTACAACCTGAAAGCTGTTGTCCATCTCGAGGAGCATGGTCTTCAGCCTGCCCAGCCGGATGCTCCCGCAGGCCCTGCACCTCCTCCTCCTGGCGATGCTCCCGTTAGCCCCGGCGATCCTCCAACCTTTGCCCCTGACGTCAACGACCCTCAGATCTCCGAGACCGCCATCCGCACCTACCGTGCCAGCCTCACCGACCACGTCCGCCAGCAGCTGCTCTACGAGGCTTCCCGCATCGAGCATGACGCCGCCACTGCCGCCTACAACACGTACCAGGCGGCGCTCGCGGAGTACGCCAGGCGCGAGCGCGCATACATCACCGACCTCGCCGCCTGGCGTGTCGCTGACCGGCGCGCGCTCACCATCCTCATCGCCACCATTCCTCTCACCCTCAAGCGCGAGCTTGCTCCCACCTCCTCCTCCCACCTCTGGCGCCTCCTCACCGATCTCTATGATCGGCAGGACGTCGCCACCCTCTACTCCCTCATCAAGGAGTTCCAGAGCCTCACCATGGACACTACCACCGACGCAGCTGCCTTCACGCATCGCGTCCTCGACCTCGCTCAGTGCCTGGCGGCTCTTGGTGTGCCGTACCCGGACCCAGTGCTCTGCTGGCACCTCCTTGAATGCTTGACTCCTGCCTTCGACACCCACAAGATCGCCTACATGCAGCTGATCAGGAAGCGCATGAAGTCGCCTAGTGGATTATCACCACCGAGGCCGACCTCTTAGGCCATTCCTCCTCAACTACCGTTGTTGCTCAACAGCGCAACACCAGGGGAGCGCGTGGGGGTGGGCATGGCGCTGGTTGTGGTGGTGGTGTGGGTCGTGGTGGCAGTGGCGCAGGACGTAGTGCAGTAGCCGCCTTTCCTCCTTGTCAGTATCTCCCTCGATATGGCCCCACGCGAGGTCGGCATTGCGGCCAGACCACTCATGCCACTGATTCTTGCTTCAAAGTGCTCAGTGATGAATGGTTTGCCCGCGGCAACACCGGCACCCCCCCCGCTGGTCCTCCCTCTCTCCTCTCCCCACTCCTCAAGAGGTTCGTACGTCCCCTCTCTAACAGCCCGTCTCCTCCCCCTTGGCCCACCAGGCCGTCTCTCAGCAACAGTAGCAGCAGCAGACTCCGCAGCAGATCCTGCTGCAGCAGTTTCAGCAGCAGCAGCATCAGTTCCAGCAGGGGCAGCAGCACCTCTTCTCCCAGCTGCAGCAGCAGCTCCAACAGCTCCAGCAGCAGCTTGAACTCCAGTCGCAACTCCCCCTTGCACCTCCTCCTATGGCTCCCCCCCAGCAGCCCTACCCCGCTTGGACCGCCGGCACCACGGCTTCCGCAATTCACCTCTCGGGCGCGTCTCCTGCGCCCTCAGCCACAGGCAGTGTGACTCCTTTCCCCTCCTCTGGTTTTGTTGGCATGGTTAGTCAGGCTGGAACCCCTGCCCCTTCTATGTATTCGGCTGCTATTAATGAGAATGTGATTCAGTACTCCGTCCCACCTCTTCCCCCACATCCTCCCCCTTCCACCACGCTGGACTTTGTCCTTGACAGTGGAGCCACCGAGTCAGTCCTTCGTGATGCTGGTACCCTTCACCCTCTCCCAGCCCCCACCTCCCTCCTAAGTGCCGATTCCAGCTTCTCTATTCCCTGTCGCCACACCTCTACCCTTCCCTGTCCCCTCTTCCCCTCAGGTACCATCACTGGTTTACACATCCCCTCCCTCTGTACTAACCTCCTCTCCCAACGATCCCTCCAGCAGGCCGGTATCACCACCGTCTTCCTAGGTCGCGCTAATCACTGCCTCCTATACCATCCCACAGGTCGCCTCCTCTCCCGTATTCCCTTTTGTCCTCGCTCCCGCCTGTATACCCTTCGGGTTCCTCGTCTTCCCTCTGCCCAGGCAGTCTCCCGCTCCCTCCCCCTCACCCACATCCCTCCCCCTCCTCTCTGTGAGAGTACGACCCCGTTACACCACTTGTCCCTTTTCTTATTTCCTTCCTCGTTCATTTCTCTCATCTCATTTGGTTTCCTATTCTCCCTTTTCCCTTAACCTTTGGTTTATCCTGCTATTGTAATTATATCACCGACCAGGCTTGGGATGTACTGGTGCGCTATCTGGCGTAATCCTGCCGTAATCCCTTAAAGCCAATAGCCTCGCGTGGCTATACGCAGGGTGATTCTATCTTCTAGAAGGGTCTATTCCCTTAGGATAAGATAAACCGGGTTACCTGATGTACTTTGGAAGTATAAAAGCGCCTTGTACTGATCGATAGTGCAACCTTTCCTCGACACATTCGATCCTGTGACACTTGGTAATCAGAGCTTTTCTCACTCGACCGCGCTCAGCTAAGCAGCAGCAGCGGGGATCCTGCCTCGAAAACCCGCCGGGGGCGACCAATTCGACGCCGATTCTGGTAAGCACCAGCTCCGCGATTTTCGAATTACCCCCTCCGTGCATGTTTTGAACAGGATGGCAACCTTCGACAACGCCGAGGTTACCCAGCAGCTCTTCGCGCGCATCGCAGCCCTTCAGGAGGAAATGCGAGCGGATCGCGAAGCGTGGCGAAACCAGTTCGAGCGAGTAACTCGACTCGCCGGAGCGCAGCACGAGACGACAACGGCGACGACGCAGCAGTCGCAGCAGTTTCTCGAGGCTCCGAAACCGCGCCCACCTAAGCCGTTCGATCCGAGCGATCGAAACTCCGACGCCCGCAGATGGATCGCCGGGATGGAGATCTACTTCGCAGCCGTCGGATGGAGCTCGCCAGTCTGGGACGGTCAACGCGTACGACTCGCGGCGACACTGATGCGAGGGCCGGCACTCGAGTGGATTGGCGGCAACAGTACTTTCATCCACGGTGAAGCCACGTGGCAGCAGTTCCGCACCGACCTGCTGAAA